AGTATTGAGCATTAACTTTACTCGGCGGCCGCGATTTCTAGGCTGCGCGCGGGACCCCTCCCTCCTGGCCCGGAGCGCCGCGTCGGTCCCCTGCGCGCAGCCGGGCTCTCCGCCGGCTCTGCCCCGCTCCTCCCGACCACCTCCCCGCCGCGCGCGTCCGCCTGAAAAGTGCGAGCCCTTCCTCGCCGCGCCGTCTCCTCCGGTGCCCTTGGCAGGGGAGTTTAGAGGCCACTTTTGCTGGGAAGGGAAATGCATGTCTGGTTTCGCTCATATTTTCTCCTCCAAATGGAAACCGGAGGCTCGCTCGCCGGGTGGCGGTTTGCTGAGACGCTCGTTTTCTCCTCTGAAACAATGATTGGTTTATAGGTTTTTAAATTCTGTCTGAACGGAGAATCCTCCTCGGGCTCTCTTCCCCCTGGCCGCCGATACGTACAGGGAGGGGTCCAGAGGAGGTGACTTTCAAAGTAATTCCGTTTTGCACACCAGAAACTCCGAGAGGGTGAATCGCATAAAACTTAAGACTGCCCCCGGAGGAACCTTGAGCTCCGAACGCGGGTCCGTGGGCGGCACTGAGCCCTCCAAGCCCAGTACCTGGTTTGCAATCCCGCGTTGCGTTGTTATTTTAGCATCACAGAGCCGCCTGGTGTTGCTAAACCACTACTTTCTCAGCATCAAATGGCATCTTGAGCTGTGCAAGCATCGGATATAATTGCGGGCCAGCGTTGCCCCTGATCTTTAGGGATTTAGAAGGGAAAGAGATATGCAGGGCACGTTTCGTAGCCGATTCAAACCCGTCGGGTTAGCACTGTCAATACATCAAAGCACGGCACTGGAAAAAAAAAATTACTCCAGCCTGGTGACCCGGGGACCAACATTTATGGCTTTCCCAGTGCAATGCGGCTCCGCAGCTCTTCGTTAGATCGGTTGTGTCCCCAGGAAGCGCCTTTTACCATGTGCAGACCTCTGTTTTCCGGGTCAGTTGGACTAAGGACTCATTTTGGTAGAGACCTCAGGTAGTTTTCCTCTTTATTTTCTTTCATCCTTGGGTGGCCAGGAGTTAGCGACCATGTTATGAAGGAACAGAAAGAGGGAAGCTTCCGTGACGGGCTCTCAGCGTCCTGCCCTTGGCGGGGTTGAGGCGGCGGCCGCCAGCTAGCCCTCTGCCCCGGGAGGTGGCCCAGGGGCAGGACGCAGGGCGCAGCGCTGCCACTCAGGAGGGTGGTTGTGTTTATCTTTTAGCGGGCTTATTAATGGCACTTTTAATTTTATTTATCTCCATGGGGAACTCTCCCCAAGCCATAAAAATTACATGTGACTGAACGTGATTTGATGATTTATCCCATTGAAGGATCAGACCCAACCAGATGTCATTTGTGATGTGGATCATAAAAACCTTTCAAAAATCACCCTCTCCCTCATTTTCTCTCCTTTTAAGCGTCTCAGGCCAGTACTTTCAATAATAGACGCAATTGGCAGTAATGTATTGAGTTCATTCTTTCTAGGCTCATTGATCAAGCCTAATTTCTGGGTTTCCATAGCTTGAAGGGGACCTCAGAGAGCTCAGAGAGAGAGAAAGGGAGCACAAACCATGGGACTGTGCCCATAGGAAAGGCATTCCAGTTGGCCAGAGTGCCCACGTGCAGGGAAAAGCAGTTTAAAAGAAGACTGCATGTTTAAGTTGTTTTTAGGGTGCATGTTTACTGAATTTGGCATTTGGTTGAGGTATCTGGGAATTGCAGATTTTAAGTTCTGTGCCATAGTGGTGTCATTTCTTTCTGCCTAATTTTTTTTTTTTTTTTTTTAAGATTTTTTTTTATTGATTTTTAGAGAAGGAAAAAGGGAGAGGGAGAGAGAAACATGGGTGTGAGAGTGAGACATCAGCAGGCTGCCTCCTGCATGCCCCCTACTGGGGACTGAGCACACCACCCCAGGCATGTGCCCTGACCTGTCACCTCTCAGTGCCAGGGATATCCGCCCACCAACTGAGGGGCAGTGCCCAGGGCACCTAATTTTTTTAAGGTTTCAGTTTTTTTATTTATGTGAATGTCAGTGCTTGGCTTTTGTAGCCTTCCCTCCGGGACAGCTTGCATTTTTGACTTGAATGCCTTGGTTATTTTGAGAAATGATTACTTTTTCAGAGTTCTTGCTCATTAATTGGTCTGTCTTATGTTGGTGTATGTAATGAGAGTAAAAATACTGTTTGCTATTGGCTATTGTTGCTCTTTTCATTATGGTTGATTCCTGGCGTAACGGCTTTGCTATTTATGGTAAAACAGTAAGGTCCTAGATATCTTGCTAGCGTCCAAAAGATTGCAGGACTCTTTGCAGGTATGGAGTAGGGATGGGAGTGGGAAAGGAAGCCATTATGCATTAAATCTGAGGATTTGGGTTTAAAAAATAATGTATTACCTATTTACTCTCCTTGGGTGCTGGCTTGCTCCAGCCGTAAATAGTCTTCAAAATTCAAAGCGTAGAGATAGTTTCCAAGAACTCTGTATAGTGGGAAGAATGCTTACCCCACAGCCAGCCGGCCAGCCTTGGGTGGCAGGTGTGACTTTGTCACTCCGAGCTGAATGAGCTTGGCCACGCTACTTCAGCTTCCGTGATCTACAGTTTGCTTTCAGTAAAATGGGGATACTGCTACTAATCGGGATGCTGGGACAAGCAGAACACCTGATGTAGTGCCTGGCACATCCTAGCCAACGAATGGCAGTGTCTCAGACGTCTTCAGAACTGCTCTTGATTACCGAACCTTTCCAGTTGTTTTTGCTGTTTTTCATCTCATCCATCCAAAGAGTGGCTCAGGCCAGAAGGCTGGAATTCCCGTCACTCTCTGTTTCATTCTGTCACCCTCCAACCAGCCAGTTTGTCACAAAGTTCTACCCACTTTTCTGGCGAAAGCTCTCTCAAACCTGTCTGGCTTTTCAGTCTCCATTATGTTACTCCCCTAGTTCAAGCTATCATTACCCCTCCCCACTGCAGAGGCCTCCTGCATGCACTCTGCACCCATTCCCGTCCCTTTACCCACACATCCCGAGGAAAAAAGAGAAGTCACTTGCTGCTTAAACTCTTCAGAGCTCTTAGGAAACACATTTACACTTAGGATAAAATATAAAATCCTCCACAAGCCTACAAGGTCCTGCATGACTTGGCCCCTGCCCACCGTCTTCGTCTCTTGTCAGCCCCATTGGCAGTTTCCAGCGGACTCACCTGAGGGCTGTTGCTCTTGTTGTTGGCCTTTCTGTTTTATGACCATGTCACTGAGTAATTTCTTGTCCTGGCTGCTGGTTCAAATATCCTTTTATAAAGTCTTCTCTGATAAGGCCATCCTTAGCATCAGGTAACTTGGAACCCCTTTATTTTTTCCCTCATAGCATAATCATCACTTCCCTTAATATTTTCCACAATTTAGAATTACATATTATTTCATTGTTTAATGTTTTTCTCTTGCCCTTGAAGGCAACAATAATGCCTGGTTTGTTCAGCAGTCTATACCCAGTGCATTGTGTGTCTGGTGTGTGTGCGTGCGCATGTGCAGTCGGTGCTCAAT